GGGAAATGTCCCCTTCCTTCTGTGACTTCCTGACTGTTTCTTGCCCTGCAGAAACTTCAAGGAGCAGGACAGACATCTTTTTCAGATAAATGCCTGGTGTTCAGGTCTCTTCTCTTATAATAAACCAATAATCCAACAGGTAAAATGTTCCTCTGAGTTATGTGAGCTGCTCTAACAAATTGAACCCATGGAGAGCATCCTCAGAACCTCCAATCTATAGCCACTTGGTCAGAAGCACAGGTAACAACGTGGGCGTGCATTTGGCATCTAAGGTGGGGTGGGGGAGGGGCAGTCTTAGGGGACTGAGCCCCTGACCTGTGGGACTAGATGCTATCTCCAGGTAGATAGTGTGAGAACTGACTTGCATGCTTGTAGGACACCAGCTGGTATTGGAAGACTACTCGATGGTGTGAGAAGTACCCCCCAACACACACATGTTGAAATTGGATGCAGATTTATAAAGGGCTTCTCTGCCACCCTCTTGGCCTTCCATCCATCATGGTGGCTGCATGGCTTCTAGCATTATTTTTTTACACAATAATATCCAAATTCAGAAAGGGGGGATTGGTTTTTCCTCATGCAACATTCTCCAGTCAAAAAGGAAAATATTTTCCAGATCTGGCACAGAGTCTATAGGTGAAGGATTGACCAGGCATCACTTTCCTATTACTTAGTTTTAAGGAAGGTTGGGGAAAATTAATATCTGGCACTTTGGCTTCTGTCTGCCAGTCCCTGCAAAAGGAGGGGTACTGGTAATTCTCCAGTTGCCCCTTCAGATTCATCCTCTGCCCTTTTCTGCCCTGCTCCTTACTCCATGCCCTTGGAGGCTGATATCTACAGATTTCACAACCAGCCTTTGCCCTTCAACATTTGATGGGGTTCCAGCCCAGGGAAGGCACAGAAGGAGATGCAAGGGAGCAGGAGAGAAGTTGGGGTATTTCTTCCTTCTGCTCTGTCTCTGCCAGACCACAGTTTGGCAGTGTCTGCATTTCCCTACTAAAGGTCAAGATCAGGAAGACATGGCCTTTTGTTACCTTCTGGAGTATTGCTTTACCTTCCCTACTTAGATCTACAGTCCACTTGGAATTGATACTTTCTTTCTGCATTTTATTTTGAAAGTTTCCAAATCTACTGGAAAGTTAAAAATAACTTAATAAAATAGTTATATCTTTCAGCTAGATTCCCCAGTGGCTAATATTTTGTCACATTTTCTTTATGCCTCTCAATATAGATATATAAATAGACAGTTGGCCCTTGAGTAACAGGGATTTGAACTCCACGGGTCTACTTATATGTGGGGTTTTTTTCTTTTATAAATACAATACAGTACTGTAAATGTATTTTCTCTTCCTTATAGTTTTCCTAATAATATTCTTTATTCTAGCTTATTTTATTTTAAGAACACAGTATAAAATACATATAATGTAAAAAATATGTGTTAATCAACTGTTTATGTTATCAGTAAGGCTCCCAGTCAACAATAGGCTATTAGTAGTTAAGTTTTGGGGGAATCACAAGTTATACGTGGATTTTCAACTGCACCGGGGGTTGGTACCCCTAACCTCTGAGTTGTTCAAGAGTCAGCTATGTATAGCTAATTCACTAACCTGTACGATTTTGGGTTTTGCTGAACCATTTAAATGTTTACACATCTTGACATTTCACTCCTTAACACTTCAGCATGCATCTCGTAAGGATAAAGACATTCTCCTACATAACGCTCCAAAATTAACCCTAATTCAATAATGTCACCCAATTTGTTTTAATTCTTTGCTTAAAAATACTTTCTCGATGATCCCTGACATTTGAGTACTTTGCAGCTGACAAAGCATTTTCACCAACATGCTCTCATTTTATACCATAGTCACCTTCAGAAGCAATTATTATCATCTCTGCCTTATACATGAGGAAAAGAAGAACCAGAGAAGCCAAGTGACCCACCCAAGGTCACACAGCTAATAAGTAGCATGACTGGCATTCCAAGGCAGGCTTTCCAACTCCAAGTTCCATACACTTTCTGTGACATTTTGACCAGAGTGTTAGTTTTTCCAGAACGTATGCCCCTCAAACACTTCCCTTATGTTTTCCCTTCCAATCTTCCTAACCACCAAAAATAACAAGGCTCTTGTTCTTCAGCTTCAAAGAGTGACACTCTAGATAAGCAGGTTATCCACACTGGCCTCTGTTTGGTGTAGAAAAATGCTAGGCAACATGTTTGGACCTTGCATTTAATTTAAGCTAGTGTGATTGATCACATAGTATTTCTTAACTGCATTATGCTTGATTCTTGCCTTCATATACCCATGCAGGGTGGGAGAAAGCTTCCCTCTGAAAACGCCTGGATTTCATCCCCCTTGGTGGGCAGGTGCTGCTATATGCTGCTCAATAAGCAGATGAGAACAAGTGTTTTTGAAGCCTTGCCAGGGCAGGATTTTGGCCTCTCAGCTGCTAGACCTGCCTCTCAAACACCTCCGGGATCAGCCCCTTTCTGTCCTTTGCCACTGTCATGCACAAGACCCAGCCACCTCCACTCTTGCTGGGAAACTGCATAGCCCCTCACCTGGTCCTGGTTAGCCGTCTGCCATCTGTTCTCGCCTCTTGCACTTGACAGGTGAACCTCTTCAGTGACATCCGATGCCCTTAGAACGGGGTGCACATCTATGCGATGGCCTGTGCCACCCTCCCTGATAGGCCCCTGCCAACCTCACTGCCACCTCTCACACCATGCTCCCTACCCCACAAGGGGTACACCAAACTTGTTTTCCTCAAACAAGCCTGGACCCCACATCAGGCCTCAACCTGCTTTGTTCTCTGCTGCAATGCGTTGTCTACCATTTCCACCTCCAGGTACCTGTTAACACCCACTGATCCTTCACACCTCAGTGTGAGGCCCTGGCCCTGAGCCCCACGCTAGATCCCCATAAATGCTTGCCTAACACCTTGCACTTTTCCTGGGTGCATCCCCAGCATCTCCACATAATAAGTGCTCAACAAACTATTCAATGATTGAGTCTCCCCCTTATGTCCAGAGATAACAGGGCAACAGCTGAAGTCACACTGTGGTCACTATCAGAACCACAGTCTTTCTCACCCAAAGCTGCTGCTTCAGGAAGGATACCCCCTCCTGCTTCATCCTTGGGCTCTATTGTCAAGGAGAGGCCCCTTGCCCCTGCCATCATCACAGGACACTGCCCACAGGAAGGGAATGGTAACTCCATCCTAGCCTCCTCTTCATGTCTTGTGAATCTGCACCTGTTCATTCACCCATTTGTTCATCTCCTTCCCTATTACCATATGCCTATTTCTCAAGTATTTATTGAGCTTAATTATGTGTGTATCATTGTACTATTCATAGGGACATAGTGGTGAGCAGAAGAGACAGATTGCTGTCCTCAGGGAGCTGCTGTGTGGTAAAAGCAACAGACCAAATCACATAAGTGGATGAAAGAATGTCAGGTGGTAGCCAGAAGAGTGCCAGGAAAGAAGCGAGGAGGGCAGAGTGATGAAGGGAGCAGTGGGCAGTTCCCCACTCGACATCAGCCCTCCTTCCTCATTCCTAACAGCACCCCAATTGCATTCAGTGGTCACCCCCTCAAATATCCCCTGGGCCTCAGGAGAAACCACCCTGAGCCACAGGTCCGAGGGTGGACCTGATTGGCCCAAGGGCAATTCCACCCCCTTGACAGTGATGGGTTCAAGAAGGAGTATACGACTTGTTTCAGGCCCGTGACACAAAGGTAGTTCCTCTAGGGAGGCAGGAACTTCTAGGGAAAGTGTCTTTGCTTTAAAATAAGCCACAGGAAGAGGTGGTTTCTCTTCTTCCTCTGGATGCTGTCGTTTCTGGATGTGATGGCTGAAACTGCTGCAGCCACTTGCTCCCAGCGAGGCCAACCCCACACGAGCTGAGCAGAGATGCATGAACCTGGGCCCTGTTACACCAGTGAGCTACTGTATCAGCCATTTCTGGAGTCCTCCGACTTCCCATCCATGTGAGATCATAAGTTACTATTTAATGTCCCTTTTTTTATAGTCCACCTAAAGCACCAAAATTGACAGAGACATAGACCCTGTGGCTTTGCTCCTACTCTGGTGCCTGGTACTTAGTAAATGCTCAATAAATGTGGAATGAATGGTATGTCTTAAGTCAGAGTCTCCTGAAGCAGACCTGGAGACATATCTTCAGGAGAATGTACTGTGTTATGGAAATGCTCCCAGGGGGACCAATAAGAGGAAGCTAAAGGAGGCAAGGAAAAGGGAAAGTAAGCACAGGAGCAAGCTTAACTGATGCCCCCTGGGGAAACTTCCACCTGATCCCCAAGGGAACTCCGGAGTGTAAGCCACTTCTCCTTAGTTGTCCTGCCTGTGGCAAGGGGGCTGGCCTTTCCTAATCCCACTCCTCAGTTTCTCCTAAGGGCCACCCCAGGGGAATATAAACACCCAAGCCTCCTCCCAGCTCTCAGCTCTTACAGTTAAAATGGCTCTAGGAGCACAAGAGTGGCACCTGCTGACCACTGGAGGAAAAGTACAGTGGAGTTAGCAGAAGGGTACATAGAAGTGATAGGGTCAAAGAGGGTCTGGATGTGGGTACATGAATGAACAGGCTCTGGGTGCATCCACAATTGCTTATGCAAAGCCTATGCAGCCTTCTGGTCTGCAAATTTGTCCCCCATATCCCTCCTACAGAGGGGTCTTTTTCTGCTCCCCACACAGCATGCCAATGGGAACCCCCAGCTCTTATTAAAATGGAAAAAAATGCATTTCAAAATTATTGTGCTTCAATATTCATCTTGAGGTTCTTTTGCAAAACACTGATAGCTAGCCATGACTTGATGATGAAATATTGATTACACATCTATATTTGTATTCAGAGGTCTATACTGTGTAGACAGAACACCCACCCTGCAATATCTTCTATTTTAAGCCATTATGAAGACGGATGTTCCCCCCCAGGCAAGTTTTGATAAAATACTGGTGTCAATACAAGAAGACATTAATGCCAATGCAAGTCAATACCCATTTATTGGTTGGGGGTGCTTCTGTTCCACACAGCAGCTGACTCCAAGAGGGGTCTCCAAACACCACCAGCTCCTAGCCAGTCTGCATATTTCCTCATTTATATCATGGGAGTGGGAAGCGTCAGGGGAACATGGACTGGCAGGGGGCTGCCCATGCCTGCTCCTGAATCAAGAAGGGAAAGAAAATAAAAGCAAACACAACCTGTAAATAAGTCTGGAAGGAGCTTTATTGCTGTCATTAGCAGTGCACTTGTCTTCTCTCAGTTTCAAAAAGAGTAAAATTAAAACAGCAGAAGAAGCAAGAATCATCTCCATCCTTGTTAGGTTCTCAGCATATGACAGGCACTGGGGCTCATCTTGACTGTGGGTATCTGCTGTGTTTGCCTGTTCAGCACTCATTACCGCCTGAAACTCCATATATTTAGTACTTCTTAAAAATCTCACTTACTGTCTGCCTTCCACACCAGAAAGTGAGATCCAAAGGGACAGAGGGGGTTTTTTGTTGTTGTTGTTTATTTTGCTCACTGCTATATTTCCAATGTCTGGACATTGAATTAACTTCTGCTTCATTCGTTAATTCATTTATTCATTCATTCTTCATAGTTACTGAGCAACTACCATGTGACAGGAATATAGTAGGTTCCTGGGATACATTGGTGGATAAAACAGACATTCTAGTGGCCATAGGGCAATAGAGATAAGTAAGTCCTATAAATAGTAAATTAGAAGGCAGTAATTGCTAAGGTGCATGAGCAAAGGAAGAAGAAATGGAATGCTGGAGAGACGGATTCTGTTTCTAAATCATGTGGTCAAGTTCAGCTTCCATGGGAAGGTAGATTCAAGCAGAGTCTTGTAGGAGGTCAGCAAGTAGGGAAGTGCAACTATGCAACTATGGAAGGGAGGAGGTAGGGATTTCCAGGCACTTGGAATAGTACAAATATCCCAAGACAGGAATATGCCTGGTTTATTTAAAAAAGAAAAAACTGAGTGATTGGATGGAGTGAATAGAATGTTAGGACAATTAAAAGCATGATTCTGAGGTGCCCAGCGACCACCTTGCTCTCTCAATAGCTGCTCCCCGGGAGAGCCCACGTGAAGCATGGCAGAGATAAATGGAGATAAACTAAGCAGAGATAAACAGAGGCCCCTGGATCCACCCATGCCTGAAGCAACTTGTAGCCCACATCTTTTCAGTACTTGAGGCAATACATTCCCTTTTTAAAATCACTGGTCACTGAAAGAGTCCCTGATAAAGCCCCCTGAAACCCGAGTGCCTAGGACACTTGAGTTGCTATGCCTGCAGTGGATGTCAAAGATACCAGCTGGCCGGCTCTCATGCAGTGGGAAATCTAGCCTGGGAGACCAAGGCCTGGAATCCATCTGTGCAAGGGACACCCATACAGCTGACAAGTGAGAAGGAACCTTTCAATTTTGCAATTTTCAAGTGTCAGAAGGATATTGTGCTGCTCTTGTGACACTTGGCATCTTAGGTGGATTCTCCCCATCTTTCATCAACACGTCTGCTGTGTGAGATATGGCCTTTGCACTCACGTGATCCGGAACGCACAGCTGAGAGTGAGAACTCCAGGTGTTAGCTTTTCCACCAAGTCCCATTTGAAGGACCAGACAGACCCTCTTCTTCAATTACCCATGTTGTCAACACAACACTTTCAAAGGAATCTATTCAATTCAACAGGTGATTTGAGTGGTTATTCTTCAAGATGCTGTGGAGTCAGAGAAACACACAATTTGGTCTATTCCCTTAAAAGGCAGATAATCTAGAGGGCAAGGGTCCCTTTGATTCATCTCATTCACTCACATACTCCATGCTAAAGGCAAGACACTAGGTGCTGGGGTAGAGATTACCCAAACGGGAAGGACAAACATTCACAGGTGAGTACTTGGTGTGTGACCACTCATCATTATTCATTCAACAAATGTGAAGTAAATGCTTCTTGTGGGCCCAGCACTCTTTTGGGCATTAAGGACACAGCATCCATCAAAATGGACAAGACCTCAATTCATGTGGAGCTTATGTCCTATGGTGTAGACAGAAATAAAGTGACATTTTAAAAAGATGATTTCTGGGGTGCTTGCGTGGTTCAGTCAGTTAAGCTTCCGACTTCAGCTCAGGTCATGATCTCACGGTTTGTGAGTTTGAGCCCCGTGTCAAGCTCTGTGCTGACAACTCAAAGCCTGGAATCTGTTTCAAATTCTGCATCTCTCTCTCTCTCTCTCTCTCTCTCGCTCTGCCCCTCCCCCTGCTCATGCTCTGTCGCTCTGTCTCAAAAATAAACATTTAAAAAAAATTAAATAAATAAAATAAAAAGATTATTTCTGTCAGGAAAACAAGAAAGTGAGAAAGACAAGAAAGGATCAGAGGAAATCTTCAGAAACAACCACAAAACAAGTAATAAAATGACAATAAATACATATCTATCAGTAATTATTTTGAATGTAAATGGACTGAATGCTCCAACCAAAAGACATAGAGTGAAAGAATGGATTTTTTAAAAAGACCCATATATATGCTGCATACAAGAGACTCATTTTAGACCTAAAGACACCTGCAGATTGAAAGTGAGGGGATAGAGAAACATCTATCATGCAAATGGATGTCAAAAGAAAGCCAGAGTAGTAATACTTATGTAGGACAAAATAGACTTTAAAACAAAGGTTGTAATAAAAGACAAAGAAGGATGCTATATAATCATAAAGGGAGCAATCCAACAAGAAGATGTAACAACTATAAATATTTATGCACCCAACATAGAAGCACTCAAATACATAAAACCAGTCAATAACAAACATGTAGGAACTAATCAATAATAATACAATAATAGTAGAGGACTTTAATACCCCACTTACATCAGCGGACAAATAATATAAGCAGAAAATCAACAAAGAAAAAATGGCTTTGAATGACACACTGGAACACACAGATTTAATGGATACATTTGAAATATTCCATCCTAAAACAGCAGAATACATATTCTTTTCAAATGTACATGGAATGTTCTCCAGAATATATGACAGATTGCCACACAAAACAAACCTCAAGAAATTCAAGAAGATTGAAATCATACAATGAGTATTTTCTGAACACAATGCTATGAAACTAGAAGTCAACCATGAGAAAAAAATTGGAAAGACCACAAATACATCGAGGTTAAATAACATGATGCTAAACAATGAATGAGCCAACCAGGAAATAAAAGAAAAAAATAAAAAAGTACATAGAAACAAATGAAAATGAAAACATGGAAATCCAAAACCTCTGGGTTGCATCAAAAGCAGTCCTAACAGGAAATATATAGCAGTTCAGGCCTGCTTCAAAAAGGAAGAAAAATCTCAAATAAACAACCTAACCTTACAACTAAAGGAGATAGAAAAAGAACAATAACTAAAGGAGAGAGAAAAAGTACAACAAACAAAACCTAAAACTACCAGAAGAATGGAAATAATAAAGATTAGAGCAGAAATAAATGTTATAGAAACTAAAAAAAAAAAAAAAAAAGATTGATGAAATCAGGAGCTGGTTCCTTGAAAATAAATCAATAAAATTGATAAACGGAGGTTTATCAGTTTAATCAGACTTATTAGGGAAAAAAAGAAAGGACTCAATAAAATCACAAATGGGAGAGGAAAAATAACAACCAACACCACAAAAATACAAATAATCATAAGAGAACCTTATGGAAAACTATATGCCAACAAATTGGGCAACCTTGAAGAAATGGATAAATTCCTAGAAACATATAACTACCAAAACTGAAACAGGAAGAAATAGGAAACTTGAACAGACCAATAACCAGCAAAGAAATTGAGTCAGTAATCCAAAAAAATCCCAACAAACATAAGTCCAGGACCAGATGGCTTCACAGGTAAATCCTACCAAACATTTAAAAAAGAGTTAATGCTTATTCTTCTAAAACTACACACACACACACACACACACACACACACACACACACACACAAAGGAAGGGAAACTTCCCAATTTATTCTATGAGGCCAGTATTACCCTGGTACCAAAACCAGATAAAGACATCACTAAAAAAGAGAACTACAGGCCAATATCCCTGATGAACATAGATGCAAAAATTCTCAACAAAATGCTAGCAAACAAAATTCAACAAGACTTAAAATTCAACAAGATTTAAAAAAATCATTCACCACAATCAAGTGAGATTTATTCCTGGCTTGCAAGGGTGGTTCAATACTTGCAAATCAATCAAAGTGATACATCACATCATTAAGAGAAAGGTTAAGAACCATATAATCATTTCAATAGGTGGAGGAGTAGCATTTGACAAAGCACAACATCCATTCATGATTTAAAAAAAAAAAAAACAAAAAACAAAAAACAAAACTCAACAAAGTAGGTTTAAAGGGTACATACCTCAACATAATAAAGGTCATATATGAAAAACCCACAGCTACCATCATCCTTTTTCCTAAGGCCAGGAAAAAGACAAGGATGCCCACTTTCACCACTTTTATTCAACACACTACTAGAAGTCCTAGCCACAGCAATCAAACAAGAAAAAGAAATAAAAGGAATCCAAATCAGTAGGGAAGAAGTAAAACTTTTACTATTTGCAGATGGCATGATACTATATATAGAAAACCCAAAAGATTCCACCAAAAAAACTGCTAGAACTGATAAACAAATGCAGGAAAGTTGCGGGATACAAAACCATTGTACAGAAATCGGTCACCATACATATAAATAAGTTCAAAATCTATTAAAAACCTAAATGTGAGACCTGAAACCATAATAATCCTAGAAGAGAACACAGGCAGTAACTTCTTTGTCATTGACCATAGCAACTTTTTTCTAGATATGTCTCCTGAGGCAAGGGAAACAACAGCAAAAATAAACTTGAGACTACCCCAAAATAAAAACTTCTGCACAGTGGAGGAAACAATCAACAAAATTAAAAGGCAACCTACAGAATGGGAGAAGATATTTGCAAATGATGTATCTGGTAAAAGTTTAATATTCAAAATATATAAAGAACATAAAACCCAACTTTCAAAAAACAAATAGTCCAGAAGACATGAACAGACATTTCTCCAAAAAAGACATACAGATGGATAACAGACATATGAAAAGATGCTCACCATCACTTGTCATCAGGTAAATACAAATTAGAACTAT